AGGGGCTCAGGATGATACAATCCTCTTCAGCAGTGCTTATGAGAGGGAAGACCTGTGCTATAGCCCACCTGGAAGAGCAAAAGAAGTTTTTCAGCAAGCATTTGGCAAGGTTGAGACCGTGTGTGGAATAAGGCCATGGCCGTTCTCCTCCCTGCCATAAGTTTTGGAGATATCAAGGATGTTGCAGGTGGTTCAGCCTTGGCTGCTGCATCCACCAGGGATGGCAGGCTTTGCAGCACCATGTTTTCTGCCACCCCTTGGCCTTTGGCTTAGGGCTTGGCAGAGGTGCCACCTCACAAATAGCCACCAGCTCCCGGGGTAACACCAAGGCTTTTCGAACAGCCTCCTGTTCCCTGAATTTTCTTAGCTCATGCAATCTCACCAGATCACAGCACAAGCAGTATTGTTCCTGACAACCTGCAAAATATTTTTATGAACTCCATCATATAGTGTTTAAACATGCCATGTTAGGAACACGCTTGTTAGGAACAATCGTAGCTTAAAGAGAGACGTTTTCAGACTTGCACCATCTGCCAGTAGCTTTCCAGTTTTAGTACCAGGATAAAAAAAAAAAGTATTCTTTAATTAAAGAAAGGTCCCGTGCATCTGCAAATTTGTCAACAGGGCAGTTGGCATCCCTCCACCTTTCCTGCTCCTCTGTATCCAGAGTTTGAAATAACAGATTTCAGCTGGTGGAGGAGGAGCCCGAACACACCGAGAGCAAAACCACTTTGAACTCCCTGGAATGGTAACAGCAGCACTTGGGGAGGAAACAAAGCCCGGGCACAAGCGCGTTTTCTCAACAGCTGAAATGAAGACTAACAACTGCCACATTCCCAGGGGAAGTCCTATTGAGCAAAAACTTAGTCCATCAGCTCGCTCTGGGATTGTTCCGCCTTGCTCACAGAACTGGCATTTCTTTCAAGTGCCCTTCATAGGGCAATATTTACAATTCATACGTGGGATTGACCTGTGAAACTCAGCACAGCTCAAAAGTCTTCTTTTGCCTGTTCAGCCTTCCTGATTTGCAAGCGCTTCTTTCTGCATGTGAAGTGCTTTTTTTAGCTATATATTGCTGCCATGCAATTTCTTAATGAGCAGCAATTATGCTGCTCTTTCAAGATATGCATCTGCCATCACCCATTCACCAACACACTGTTTAGCAGTGTATAAGCTGAAGACAAAAAGGTATTTTCAAAATTTTAAAAAGCCAGTTTGAAATATCTCTACAGGATTCAAATGTTTGATTTACTTCCTGGTGATCAAGAGATCACTGTCTGGCCTTTCGCCCACACAGACAAATATTTGTTGTCGGATAGTAAGCAAAAGTTTAGTTATACATGGATAATTAATATTAAATGTCTATAAAATATGGTCACTATCTGACAGACCATTTCAGAGAAGGGTTTATTGTGAAAGTTTACAGATGAAACTTCCTTATTAAAAAAAAAAAAGTTCTGCATTGCAAGGAGGCTTCTGCTTTAATTAAATGGCTGATTTCCTTCCTGAGCCCAGCCACTTCTCTTATCATTTATTTCAGGCAGCGGCAGAGTAGGATTTTTTTTATTTTAGTATACAGTATTAGGATTTTTAGCAAACACATTTCACTGTGTGCTCACAGAGAGAAAGTTTACATGTACTTCACAATATATCCAGATTTTGGAAACTTGCCCACTCTTGCCTTCTGTTTTGCTTAAAACATTAGTCTACAAAGCATCAATAAGCATCTTAAACTAAACTAATGTCTGCATGTCATTATTTATAAATGTGTGGGTGCTTAGCTTGGAGGCAAAAGAACCCATAATACTGCTACCATTTACTGTTATATATATGTAGCTTTGTCTGGTTCAGTGCAGGTTTTCCTACAGCATTTTTTTGTTCCAGGTTTTTCATTTGGCCTGCCCTTGGTACTGTGTGTAGTACCACTTTCACCCAGGCAGCTCTGGCCAAAGAAGGTCAGCTGAGAACAAGGGGTTGGAGCATCTCCCAGGGCCTGGCTGGGCTGCATTACTTGCACTTTTGAGGACAAATATGCAAAGTTTGATGAAGTCAGTGGAAAGACTCCTACTGGCTTTGGTTAGCTCTTGATCCAGCTATAAATTATGGAAGTTTGATTTTATTTCCATTACTTGTCCACAATATTTTTCTTCCTGTGTTAGCAACATAGCTCCTCTTTAAACAATGACAGAACTGCTCTTTCCAGTCAAGTGATCCATTTGTCAGTAAATTGCACTGGAATATGACCAGATAGGGATTCTGAGTTTGCTGCTAATTGGAGAGGGGGAAAAAAAGAGGTTCTTTCTGGTTTTGTGGACAAAGTCCCTGATTTCAAGGGAATCATACAGTATCCTGTTATGCTTTGTATTCAGCATTCTAAAATGGGGGAACAGTTGTTATCTCACCTTTCCAGAAGAACAAAGTGAAGATAAATCACTGTTCTAGGAAAACATAGGGAAATTATGGAAAAATTTGTCTAAGGTAACTCACTAGTTTACCAATGGCAGAAGTCATGCTGGAATTCCCAGCCTGTGTCCCATTCCTTGCTCTCTCTGTTCATGTGAGATACACAGACTGTATCACAGAAGAAAGCACATAGGAAGTGCACAGTAAGTCAGGATTTTGTCAGTTTAGCAAGGTTAAGTTTAAAGAAATGTCTTCTTGGAGTCAAAAAACACGGGCCTTGAAAACAAAAGGACAACTATCAAGGCAGTTTATTTTGAAGTTTAAAAGAGACTACTATCCCCAGACATTCATCTAAATAAAATAAGGATGTAAAGAAATGGTATTAAGTAATTAAAGTGGGGTTAAAAAAACCCCAACAAAACCAAGAAAATGTTCCTTAAAAATACTGGTGGTGTACAGTAGACAACATCTATGCAGCCATGTATCAACAGACTTTGCTGTCTGTATAACAATTTTCCCTCAGAACATGTTCTATTTATAACCCCCCTAAGCCTTTTGCAGTATGTTTCCTGTTCAGACATACCACTTAATCACCAGAAAATGACTCAGCCAATACCTTCAGTCACTTCCCAAACATGGGATTCAAAACTAGTGAGAAAATTATGAGCATGCTTAAAACTTGACTGATGAGTCAAAATATTGTTTAAACTGATTCTTATTTTTTTGATATGCACATGTTGGAAATCGTTCACCCTGTCAATGGGAGCACATAGGCACTTGTTCACCAAGAATAAGAATATTTTGCTTATTCATTCACTCTGAAATGCTTTCTATTTCTGTAATTACTCTACTATTTCAAAAGCAAACAAACAGGCTTATGACCAAAAATTGTAACATGGATAAGACTCCCTCTGCTCTCTTTTGGTCTGAGGTGGCCATTGCTGTGAAGAAATACTTGACCTTTTTAGCTTGCATAAGACACTATCTTGGAAATGCAAAGACATAGCTGGCTGAAATTGTCATTTTCAACTTATTTACTCACTCATTTCTAATTTTTCAACTCTAGAATATCAGAGATCTTGTTGTGTTTTCTATGCACAAAAACGAATGCCATTTAAATAATCAAACACAAGCATCATGCAGCATATTCATCTGCCAAAAAATTAGAGGTGGAATTGAATACAGAACACAACCATTTTCAGTTCTCCCTTCAAAAACAGAAGCATTATCAAAAACTAAGCATGGAGTTCCATCCTAAAACAATAACTCATGCATAACTACTATCTGCATGATTCATCATGGCAACAACCACAGAAATTCTTCCACACTCCACAATCAAGAAAGAGGAGTAGAAGTATTTCCTTTTGTCCAGATTTTTAAGCACCACATTTCTGGCATTTCAACCATTTAGCTTAAAGACAGCCTCACCTACATGCCTTGTCCTAATCTGTATGCCCTAACAAAACCCCAAAATATTCCTGAACCCTTGGAATGTCCTGAGGGACACAATCTGCAGACAAGTCTCAGATCTGTACAATCACAGAAGTAGTACTGTAGAAATAGAATTTGCATTTACAAAGGAGAGGGTTTTTATTTTGAGGACTCTTAAGTCTCACCCTGTTTTGCAGCTGTGGATGTTGTGGAAGTAACTTGCTCACAGTGCAAACCAATGCCAGGCTGAAAATGTCCCAGCTTTCACCCTCATAATCTCTCCACCAAACACTTGCCACCATTATTTTCACTGGCAGATAGGGAGAAGGAAACTGTGGAAATGACACCCAAGTAACATCATTTGCTCCAAATCTCTCTTTTAGATAAAAACTTCTTTTCTGTTATTGTTTTAGATACTTCACAAATCTGAGGCAGTAAGGAATAATCACTAAGAGTTTATGAGACCTTGGTCTATTCAGCAGAAGAATACCCATGATCCATAGCAAGAAAATTACCCTCAGTGTGTGCCCCCATCCTGAACTGACCTGAATTTGTGCCAGAAGTGGTCGGAAAAATAAGGATGGTGTATCATCTGACTGACAATGTCATTCTGATAAATGTCCGAGGTCACATTCCAGCGCTATCATTGCTGGCCTTTCATCTGCCAAAACTGTTCTCTCACTTTCACAGCCAGCAGTGCAGCAGTGCCTCAAAAGCAGCTGAAAAACACACGAGGATAACTACCATAGAAACATCAGGGGGAAAATCAAAATACTAGCATGTTTTTTCACCTACAAATGCAGTTTCGAACGTGTTAACATCCATTTCTGTCCCAAATTTTGTTCAAGGTATCAACCTTTCTCCATACTATGGGATTACTGGGGGTTCAGTATGGAAAACTGACAGGTGTGAACACAGAAGTAACACTCACAAGAGCTTTGTGTATCTCAATATCTGCAAAGTGCCGTGAGTTCTCCCTTCTCTGCGTGGCATTTCAGGTTCCACAGTTTTTCTTCCTCTGATACCAAGTCATTATTAGCAATTATTAGGTAATTATTAGTAGTAATAATTAGGTAATAATGAAACTGCTTGTCAACACCACAAAATCTAGGCATGCTTTGCTCTTAATCAGGAAAATTTATGTTTCTTATGTAAGATATGCCTACCTTCCCTCTTTTCCGAGCCAAAGTTCTTTCAACTGGTCCTATGTGGGACAAGGTGACCTCGACTTCTTCTGAAAAATAGCATTTTTATAGCTCTACATTATGCACATATTTACTGGGGGTGGAAAGAGACAAGTGTCTGCAATGTCATAACAAGTTTTCCTGCTGACCCAGGGCACGCCCATATGACCCTCACTCTATAGCTGCAAGAAGTTTTGATTTAAAATTTTGTTTCAAAATAGATTTGGACAGCTGCCTAAATCTGAATGCCCAGGGCTGTGTTCTGAAAGAGAGAGGAAAGGGGGAAAGAAGAAGGAAAGTAGAGGGGAAAAGAAAGGAGACTGGATTAGAAAGAAAACTCCCCAAGTAAACATAGGTGAAATGATTAAAGAGAGAGCTTGGAAAACTCTGTCTCCTTTAAACTTCTTAGGAAATAAGGATGTGAAAATAAGTGCAAGTCAGCCAAAGTATAATTAAACTGTTCAACAGTGTACCTCTTATTTAACAAAAAGTCATTATGCGAATGCATTTTTTAGATTAGATGGAGCAAAATGAGTTGTGTACAGAACAAAAAGTAATACTTTTGGGCACCACTGTTACTTTCAAGGCCCCTGTTTCTCTTGTGTTCCTAAACAAGTCTTTCACTTTCTTCTGTGGAGAGTAACTTTCTTAGTTTTTCCTTTGCACCTTCCTCCCTGCTCTAATATGGTAAAATCAGAAGTGGATGCAAAGAGCAAACCTGCTTGAGTTCACTTGGTCACATCCCATCTGTAGGTAGTTCAGTGTACATTTTGGGGAACTCACAAAAGCAAACTTCATCGAGATAAGGCAAATTAAGAAACAGAGCAAAAGGCTGTTGCTATAAATAGCCCATCAGACTGGCAGAAACAATAAAACCCGTCACCAAGGAGTAACATACCAGTTGGCCTTTGGTTAAGAAATGCTCAAGAAGCAAGAACCTGTCCATTATGCCAGAAATAGTTCCAAAAGAAGCACCAACACCACAGGTGGAGAGGACTTTACTGAGGTAGTAAATTGGGAAACTTGTGACTGTGGGCTGCTCAGGAGGGAGAGAAGACTTCCCAAAGTGACAAGTCAGATTAAAGCCTCTTCTCTAACTGTCCCTGAAAGAGCCTTGCTAGTCCCAGGGGGAACTCTTTCCCCTCACCTGAAGGGATGCAGCCTGAGCACATTTTTGCACACACAGAAGGTTCACAAGACTAACTAAAACCCACTCAGCTTCATGCAACTTCCACTGAGTTCAGTGGTGCAGGACCTGCATCTGGACGATAAGAAAATAACTTATTTTCTTACAACAAATCAGGATTCTATTTTCTTCAATGCTCTTTCAGGAAGTGGGCACGTATGATAAAAATGTAAGGCTGCAGATAACATGGGTTTAAGTGATTTCTAAATTCAGTTATGTCCTGTTTGCTGGGGGTTACTGCTGCCCCAGATTGCAGCAGCTCATCCAATAGTAATGCCATTGCCATGCAAAGCAAATGGATCATCTTAAGTCATGCTCTTTACTGAAACCAAACCTTAAAACACTCCAAGTGTTGACTTATTTTAAAAACATTCACTACTTCACTGCTTCTGATAAATTTCTTCGTGAATTGTTGCATGTGTCTGTGGAAATGGAAATAGAAAATAATAGGAATGGAGCCATGTCCTCTACCAGTTCATGTTGAATGCACCCTTGACAGTAGATAATCAGAAGGAAAATTGGACTTAAGGGAAGATATACACATAGATTAATAGCTGAGGAACTTTATCTTGATTTCTTGATTTCCTGTCTAACCATGTACTTTCTGTTCGCATTACAGTACCCCTTTTAGAAGTATTTTAGTCTTTATTAAAAAGGCTTAAGTATTAAAGAAGCTTCTGCATACCAAAGAAGATTGCACCAAGAACTAGCTTGCCTCAGAATAAAAAAAGACCCCTGCTACTGCAGGTTATTTGTGGCTTGAATGTATCTAGTTTCTACTTCCAAATTTAGGGTGTTTCTTCTGGTTGATTTATAGAACTGGCAGTCACCTTTCCTTTACTATCAATTAACTGGGTATTTAACATTGCATTTCTCTCTTTTTTTTAATCCAAATGTCCGATGTTCATAGGATGATTGAATCATATGTTCAGTTGGCATAGGTGTATTTATAAACCACACCTAAAAATACACATTATGTGTCCATTGTCAAGCTCTATCACCCATAAAACTATGTCAACTGATATTGTTTATGTTACCATCAATTACTTGTTTTCTTATTGCAAACCCTCTCGGATTAAAGTAAACTAAAGAAGCTCATGATCCATACCTTTTCCCAGTTTAAATACCAGTATATAGTTTATTTTCAGCCCATTGTATCCTACAGGAATTTAAAAAAATTCTTAAACTATCCCAGCTGTACCCATGAATTATTGGACTACAATCAAAGCTGTAAACAGATTTTTGTATATAAAACAAATTACAAGTGGGAATCAAGAGGGACTTATGTCATCACACAGCAAAGAATCAATTATAGACTTCAAATTTTAAAAAGATTATAAATTTCTGCTCTCAATGTGTTGACTCTAATAAAACCTTCAAACAGCAGTTTCTGAGCAGGAAGTTTGGCAGGACTCAGTAATTCAGTCCACAGTAAATAAAGGTGTGGACAAGTTTCAAAACATCTCAGGTGGTGACAGGGTCAAAGCCCAGCACCCTTTTACAAATGGTGAAAAGAAAACTTCCAAATGCTTGAAATACTGTTCTCGAATGGAAGGATTAAAAAATAGCACAGCAGCCTGAATCTGAGAGGATATGGTAGCTGAAAAGTAATTCCATATAAAGAAAAAATAAAATCAGTAAATTCAGTAAGTGGTTATATTTAGAAGGCTTTAGTGCCAGATTCTTTTCTGGTATTGAATTGTTGCCAACCCTACCCCTTCTAAAGATAAATAATATCAAAGAGGCAGCTTTTGGTCATGAGAAACAAACACAAAGATGGTCAAGACTTTGCAGAAACAGATAAGTGAAAGGCTGCACTGGATCATACATAGTAGCTATGCAGGGGATCAAAACCTGATATTATGGATTTCTGTGGCAGAGTGACATCAATCAGAAGAAACAATTTCATTCACAGGGTTGACACCCTTGGCTCTCAAACAGTAAGCCCAAGTTTACACTGGCCCTAAGCCCATTCACCCTAGAACAAACAAGTATGACACTAAAAATCAGGGCAAAATCAGAACACAAAGCATGACAAATAATGTCTGACTTTTCAAAGTCGCAGCAGTATTTTGTCTTTTCTGGATAATTTAAATCTTCCAGTCACTTGCAGTTAGTATTTTGAAAGCTTTTGCTGAGTTGAGCTGTGTTCTTGTACGACTGACAGATTTTGTTTCTATACTTTCCTTATAGAGAGTGATTGGATGGATTAGAAGTCACTAGTTATTCCCATGGGACAAGACTGTTCATCTGGTTAATTATTACTTTTGTCCCAAACACTGCTGACCAATATGCCAGAACTGGTAATGCATATTGAACAAAATCCAGCTTGTGAAGAAAGCCATTTGTGAAAGAAGCAAACAAAACAGCTGTGATTACACACATGACACGACAGAAGTATTTCTCTGTGGAGCAACAGAACTGTGTCAGCTGGAGATCCTAAATTTAAACCATGCAGCATCAAGTTTCAGATATGCACCAAAACCACCTACATGTCAATATTTATTGGGACTTTTGGGTCTGTAGATGCATTTGAAAGGAAGACAGATGCTTAAGGAGAGCAGATGTACTGCATTTTAATCCCAGCTCCTGCCTAGGTAAACTTGGCTTCTCCTCTCATCTCCAACAGGATGTAAAACTACTTAGAAATGTTTCTTCTGTGTGAGGAAGACTTTACTCATGTGATTACTGGGTTAAGAGGTAAAGATTAATGATTGTAAAGTGCTTTGAAATCCAAGATGAAAGGTAAAGGTATTATGCAAGAATGATTATTTTATACCATTTAATATCATTTGTTCAGGATGATGTCACGTAATGAGAAAGGAAGTATTTTTAAGATGGACACAGATCTGGCAAGGGAACTTGTATTTGGGCTGCAACAAATTTTTTTCTTGTGCATATGACATAATTTCTGTGGGTCTGAAATAAATGGTAAACCACATAGGGAAAAAGAAACACCTTTTTTTTTTTTTTTGTACATAAAGTCTTCCAGTGCAGTATGTCGCCTGCTTTTACTGGGCCTTCAGCCTTTTCGGTGCAATAGCAGATTTACAACACACTGAAAAAGGACTCACCACAAAAAACAAACAAACAAAAAAACCCCCAATGAACCAACCAATCAAAAAAACCCAAAAAACCTTTTCTTTACCTGGTCTTCAATCACCTGGTTTATGTGCCAGCAATACTCCACACACATTCAAGGCACCCCTCACCCATTGTAGGTCATCTCTGTATCTCTTGCCAGCTGGTGAAAGAAAAAAAGGGCCTAATCTCTCCCTCTATCATTTCCCCAGTCCTGCTTGCCACACCTGTAAAATAAAGAGAAGTTTCTCCTGATGGAGAGAAGGCAGAGAAGTAAAAGGAAAGGATACAAGTGGATGGAAAAGAAGAGAAAAACCCAGAATATTTCTGTACTAGCAGTGGGAAAGGGGTCTAACATTTTCTTCATTTATTTTTTGCACAAGCTGCTGAAGCGCTATAGAGTGTAATTCTATTTCTAAAGAAGGGCTCTGTCCCCAGGAGAGCTCTGGGCAGGGCAGAGTTGCTGGGATGGGGCTGTGGCAGCCAGCCTAACACCTCCCTGGTGCTGCAGCAGGTAACCCACTCGTCTCAGGCAGACACTGGCAGAAACCTGACGTTTCTCCATGACATTGCCTCACACATTATGTAAGTAAATCCATCTCTCTGTGTATAGCCACACAGGGGAAATATTTACACTGCTACGCATTTGGATTATCAGAGCATAAATAAAGTGAAGGCTACTGGAGCCACTGTAACCCATCAGGGTGAAGCGTGAGCTGCACCATGGAACGTGCCCCGTTATATCACGTGCCCTGGATGTGTCAAGGCTGCAATACTGGACTGTGCTTTTAGGCAAACCCTATCTTCAGTAAGCACTGGCAGCATCTTAATCCCTTTAGTATGGCTCTGATACACTGATCAGCAAAATCTAGGGCAGGCCTCTGAAGTAGCTGGATCAGGCTCTAATACTCCTTTAGATCATAATCCTGCAAAGATTTAACATTTACAAATAACTTTATCATGTGAGTAGTTAAATGGGATGTTGGAGGGCCAGGGTCAGAACTGGAACATTCCAACTTTGGTTATATCTATCGAGGATACAACAGAAACAAGAAAAGAGTTAGGGTGGCTGCTCAGAGAACCTGATTCTTGGGAATATACAGCACTTCAGTACTTATATATCAGCTTAAATTCCCCCACAACTAGTCAGTCCTATCAGCTTCAAAGGATTTTAATCAGCATGCAAAACTAAGTACATCTGCAAAAGATAGGGACTGGGCTTCTGACACAAATATTCTGCACTCTGCTGTGACCCAATACCTATTTTAGTGTTTTTCCCCTTTCGTTTCTAAGCCTCCTTTTTGAACCTTCATCCTCCAAACAGGATACCTTCCTGGATATCTCAGCATGCAAATGTTGTGAGGCTTTTACCTGTAACAACCATCAAGATAATGCCAGAAATAGGAGAGCTGAAAGAGAGAAGCTACTCTTTAATTTAAAAGCTGGGCAATGAGTGTTTACAGCCCTCAGCTGAGCTAGGCTACCCTGCCCTTGCCACCTCAAAAATTCTGGCTGTGGATTTGGCCTCTTACCTTCTGTAAAAACCACTGGAAGTTTAATTTAAGGGAAAATAGTTGCATTTATTGAGAAGCTTTGTATGATTTTGCCAGGGGGAGATGAAACGGAGAAGAAAAAGGTGCCCAAACAAAATATATTCTAAAACATCGGGCAGATTATAGATGTGTCAGTTGGGAAGTATTTCCCTGGTCACTGATAGGTTTCATATTGGATTATTAAGAAAAGATTATCTAATTTTCCATGAGCAATCTGCTGCAGCCCTGCTGTGTTTAGCTTGGTGTTTGTCATTAGAAAGCCTCTGCCCTGTTGTTTACACATCTTCTCTCACGGAGAGAAAATCATACAATATTTTAGCAATAAACAGTCACAGTATTCTGGAAATAAAAGAGGAGGAAAATAACTACTTGAATCTGGAATCTGGTTTGTTCAATTTATATATGAAGTATGGATGCCAGTTATATTTTTTAGTTTTTCATTATAAAGAAAATAAGACTGGAGGAGGGAAAAAAAAACAAAAACAAAACCAAAACCCAAACAAAACCACAACAAAACCCCCACACCCAACAGTGACTACTGTCAGTTTTGTAGATCAGTGTACTATTAAGATTCTTATTGGAAGAAAAACTGGGCAAGATGACTGGTAAGTTCATAAATTCCTGCCTCTCTGAAAATTATACATAAGTGTTCAAATACTGCACAGTGCAGCATTACATGCATAAAGGAACAAACTTTAGCATGTTATCAAGAATCTAACTTTGTGCAAAACAAATCCATCTATTTTATAAATCACATGTAAAACGTGCTTGCCCTGGTGATAAAAACTTTTGGTACGAATGCTTCTTTAGAAGTTTCCACTTCCTGTTATCCTTCTTAGTTCATTACTAACAGCTGTGTAATGGGTCAAACCTTTTTTTATAGGCTGCAGTGATATGACACTTGTAAAACTGAGGTTATGAAATGAAAACTATTTTACAACAGCACGACCCTGCTTCCACAGCAAACTCACAGCTAAATATGTCCTCTGTGTTTGTATATTGATTTCACTCCTTACAAACAAGTAGAAGTCCCCCTCTATCATTACTGGATGTTTACTGTAATATTCAAGGTTTTGAACAAACCTTTAAAGTCTTGAAAAGCTGCACAAGTCAGAAATATAGTAGCAGCTAAATGCAGAAAATGTCTAGATGACATTGTTAGAGTTCATCTAGATCCCATATGTGGTTAAATCCTTGCAGACTGAAGGCCTATGGTAATCCCTTTCCAATGTTACAAACAGGTTTCTAAAATTTAGTTTGGACAAAAGAAAAATCAAGGAACTAGTTAAAGTAACTTGCTACACTTTCTGCCTGAAGAGTCAAAGGAGATGCTACCATCATTTACTGCAAAAACCACTGTGTTAATTAGATTAGAACTGGAAATTTGAATGCTGAGTTATTTGTTTAAAATAAACGTGACAGGGTACAAAAATAGGTTGCTACTTCCAAGGGACAGAACAGCCTGGGAGAAAAAAAACACATCCAAGCAAAACTATGAAAATTGGAGGGGTGTTTTACAATTCTATATCTAATAACAAATTTTACCTTATAAGAGTTATACAAATCCTATTTTTTCTAGTTATTCTTTAAAATACAATGTTCAGTATAAGAGTTTCCCAGGAATTAAAGGCCGCACCCACTTAATAGCTCAGATATTCCTGGTTTAGAAAAACTCATAAGCAGAAGATCGTCTGATCAGCCCATAAAACAGATTTAATTTTTATAGTAATCGGCTAAATTATTAGTCACATTTCTGGATATGTTGAAAACTACCATGTGCCTAAGACAACACAGTCAGTAAGTGTGAATGAATAGTCACTGAATTCCTAATCCAAAATTTTCCACTAATCCTGTCATGTTGCTTGTCTGCTAATAAACAACAAACAACTATGTATGAAATATCACTGATCCCCAAGCATTCTAAAATCGTGGCTCAGGCCCCCTAGTCTGAAGTTTTCTCACAATGAATATGCTTGTAATTTGCCTTTCACATAAAACTGAGCACGTCGTTAAGTGTTTTTTGGCAACCACAACAGCTTGATATGTAAGTTATTTTCATGTTTGTTGTAAGGTAAAAAATCCAGAAGCTGCAGCTCCACAAAAAACCCACCAAAAATCATGACACTTATGATACTCTTAAATCCAGTGATGAGACATATGGAAAAAAGAAGTGATACAAGGTGTTTAAAAAGCTGCTTATTTAGTTTCATCATGACATATCAAATAGACCTATCCAACAATTTTAGCATGTACGATAAAAGGGCTCTTTTATCAAAAGGAATTAAGGCAAGACAGGCAGGCTGAGAAACAGAGTCCTGGGACATCAAAAGGAAAAAGGAAACAATTCGCTTGCCTGCAGGAAAAGGAAAACCTCATTTAACTAAACACCCAGGAGAAAAGGCAGCATGTACACAGCTTGAGAAGTTCCATCAGTGGTACAATTTACCCTCTTGATTCCATCAAAAGGTGAATGAGTGCACACACACACATGAGGGCAAGCAGCTACATTCTGTTCTTTGTGGCAGTCACGCAGCCCAGGCGTGAGCAACCAGAGCTTAACCAGAGACTCCTATTTTACCTCTCTGGGTGTTCATTACGTGGATGTAAAAGATGGCAGTGCTTGTCCCATATTTCTTCCACTGCTGCATCATCTCAGGCCATTCTTGTAAGATGGATTCAAGGCACTGTGAAGACAAGAACAAGTGATACCCCCCCACACACACACTTCCCTGAAGGAATGCTGTAAAGGTGAGCTGTAAGTGCTCAGCCAGCAGGGACAGGCTGCAGTCCAGCCCCGTGCTCACACGTAGCCTCCCATTCACTACAGCAGGATTTCACAAGGGCAACTGGGGCAGGGTGCAGCCACTGTGTTTCAAAACATTTGCAGAATGTTTGGATGTAATTCTTTGAGGAGGATTTAATTTTCTTAATGAGTCTGAGTAAAATCATTAGCTGCCACAGTTGCACAGGGAATGCTTCAGGAGATTTCACGAGGCATAATTCAGCAGAGCAAAACAACACAAAGTTGTACTTGTTAACACACTATCTCAGAACAGAGCAGGCTGTTCCTCTAATATTTCTCCCACACAGTGTATTTCTAAAACACTGAACAAACCAACCACACTGATTGATTTTACCGTACCAGAATTTTTTTCTTGACAGTATAATTAATACTGCTTCTCATATCATGATTTTATAATAAACACTCATATTGTAGTGCCTTCATTCCTGAAACCAAATTAAAGCATTCTTTTGATAAATGGAAAAGTAGAAATCTTAAGCAGATGCCTTTGGAGCCAGGTCCTTCTCAGTGCTCATTCATCATATAACATTTATTTACTTTCTTTTAGTGGCCAAAGTTCTGAATACTATTCTCTGGGAAATGACTGTCATGGTGCCTGGATGAACTGTACTGGCCACGACTCCAGCAGTTCTGGAGTCCAAGTGAGGGAAGCATGACTTGGTTGCGTCATTCTCCACGTCTCCCTCCGCCTGACTCACCTTTCTGACACTTTCCCCACCCTGACTGGCCACATTCACACTTGCCACCTGCTCGGCCTATCTCAGCAAAACTCGCGGCTTGAGCAAGCAACAGTCTGTTCCAATCTTTCAGCGGGAAGCAAGAGGCCCATGGGAACGGTGGGCACCCTCCAGAACGGGGCAAAACACTTTCCAAAATAACCATACGTATGACCTGTTGTAAAAACTGGCCCTCCTGGGGTTTATCCCTCATTGCCTCTGCCTGCCAGCAAAGAACATGACCCTTTCAAAGCAGCACCGACTCACGTGGCAGGGAGCCATAGGAAAGGTAGCACTTCAGGCCAGCACTCCCTTTCCCCTGCTTTAACCTTCATAATCAAATATCAAAAAGAATGAAAACAATCTGTGGCTGCAGCTGATGGTGCATTACATTTTCTGTTCTCACCAGCACATTTTATAGATCACCGTTTGGCCAAGGAAACATAACACGGTGTTCCTTCGCCTCCTCCCCCTTGCCCCCCTTTTCAAATTTGAAAACAGGTATCTTCTTCCAAGCTAAATACTTTTAACTACTGAACTTCACAGAAAAAGAAGGTCACAAGCTGACTCATCAACAGCCTTAATAAATGTACTAAAGAACCTGAACAGGACATCAGATCACATAAGTTATAAATGCCAGGTACAGAGATAACTCACCCCCCAGGAGAACAGGTGTATGTATTTTTAAGGTTTACCATGATTTATGAAGCAATAAACATATTACTCCATGCCAAAATGTCCTGGGCCTGATATTCCCCTGCTTATGGTCCATGTACATCTATGTACATCTTCTACAGATCATGCACAGTGTGAGCTTTCAAATAAATCAGAGCATATCCCTTGGTGTGAGGCATAAACACACAACAGTTGACTTTTAGAAGCTGACCTGCTAAGTTCACTGAGAGTGAGAAGGACAGTTGCTAAAAACAGTCTAAGCCTTTATCCAAACAATTTGTATTCCAAGCCTTCAAAATACAGAAAAAAATGTCCTTTGTAGTTACTATTTGGCACCACCAGCTGGATGCTGTAAGGAACTAAAATAGGGATTTTTACTGCTTAAAACTGGAAATACCAGCAGCGTAATCTTGTGGTTTGTGGTCCTGTGCACTATTTTGTCTTGCTGGTAAAGTGTCTGTTGTAAATACCTGGTACCTTCTGCACAAGAGGAGGGACCTGCTGACTCTCATTTGTGTCAAGCAGCCGTGTGGTGGTTGGCTCTTGCTGGACACGATGTACTCACAAAAGCCACTCCATCACTCCCCTCTTCAGCTGGACAGGGGACAGAAAATACAATGAAAGGTCATGGGTTGAGATAAGGACAGGGAGAGATCACTCACCAGTTACTGTCATGGGCAAAATAGACTTGGCTTAGGGAAAAATAATTTGATTTATTACCAATCAAATCAGAGTAGGATAATGAGAAATAAAACCCAAATCTTAAAACATCTTCCTCCCAACCCTACCTCTACCCAGGCTTAAATTTGTTCCCAATTTCTCTTTCTCCTTCCCTGAGTGGCACAGGGGAATGGGGAGTTTGGGCGGTAGTCAGTTCATCACACCTTGTTCTCTCCTCCTCAGAGGGAGGACTCCTTACACTCTTTCCCTGCTCTCGATGTGGGGTCCCTCCCACAGGAGACAATTTTCCGTGAACTTCTCCAATGTGAGTCCTTCCCAAGGGCTGCAGTTCTTTGTGAGCTGCTTCAGCAGGGGTCCCTTCCACAGGGTCCTTCCAGAACAGCCTGCTCCACTGTGGGATTCCCATGAGATTCCACCCTCCCTTGGGCAGTCACCTACTCTGGTATGGGGTCACCCCTAGGCTGCAGGAGTGTGGCTGCCTCACCATGGTCTGCACCACAGGCTGCAGGGGAATCTCTGCTTCAGAGCCTCCCTCTCCTTCTTCACTGACCTTGGTGTCTGCAGGGCTGTTCCTCTCACATATTCTCACTCCTCTCTCCAGCTGCCATTGCTGTTGCTCTGCTTTTTCCCCCCTTCTTAAATACATTATCCCAGAGGTGCTACCACCGTTGCTGATGGGCTCGGCCTCAGCCAGCAGCAGGTCCATCCTGGAGCTGGCTGGCATTGGCTATACTGGACATGGAGCAAACTTCTAGTAGCTTCTGACAGGAGCCACCCCTGCAGCCCCCCCACTACCAAAACCTTGCCAGGCAAACCTAATACAAGCAGTCAAGTGAAACTGGAAATACCGAAGTCTGCCCAACTGTACCTTGTGTGCCTCTGGTGAGCTCTCATGCTGAGTGGATACAATATATACCAGGGTCCCACATGGAAGGGGATTGTCCATTTCACCTGCCTCCTCATCTCTATGGATGCAGGAATTAGTGCAAAGGAAGCTTGGTCTCATTCCTCCCAGCCATACCAGTAGCAGGTTCTGGGCAAGCAGCCAAGCCCTGTGTGGGGCAGATGCCCCAGTGCTGAGGTCGTTTGGCTTGGGCAGATCACTGTAGCACGTGGTTGTTTCCTGCCGGGCTGTTTCTGATGTTTGAGCTAGCAGGGAGGTGATAAGAGTAATCTGGAAAGCAAGGGAAATAGTATTAGAAATCTACATATCGCCTCATATGATGTTTTGCAATGCCCATCCTACTTTACCTGGAGTCTATGACAAACTTGCACTTTGTTACTGTCACAAATTCTTGGCATGTATCACTCCTTAGGAGGAGTACACAATGTGAGCAAAGTGGGAGCAAACCACGTAACTCCATTTTTTTCTGGTAACAGGATATACTAGAAGTGTGTAAGCCAAGTGTTGCACAAACATCAGCTCTTAATGCAGAGCAGTGCAAACATATCAATCGCCCAGCAGTGTTCTGCTGCCCTTATCTCTTTGCCAGGGGTGATGAATGCCATGAAAGGAAATAAAAATGACCTCCTGCAGATTCTGAACAGGTGTGGTGGTGGCAGGAGATTGTATCTCTACTCGAAGTCCTGGAGGCAAAACTCCTGCATACAAACCGTCCATTTTGTTTGAAACTGGATATTCCTCTCTAAGTAAAAGTGGTTCTGCTGCAAGCACAGGAAGAGAAGGGTGAGCAACTGCATGAGATACGAAGTTTTATGTCCAGTGAGCTCATCCGTCCCCCCAACAACTTTTGGTCTGAGCAGAGCTGGCCCCTGAAGTTTTCAAGAATCATTTCCCCTCCTCAGACTGAATTCCTGTGCAATGCATGGCAGACACACAGAGTCCAGCCCTGAGGAAACAGGTCAAGTGGCACGGTGACGAGGACTGAGGATGGAAAAGGATTAGAGAGGCTGAGTCAGTCATAATAAGCAATGATTAACTTCGGGGTTCTCTGCTTTTGGCATTCAGATCATGTAAAATCATGGCATTACTTCAGTGCCAGTCAGCTCCACGTCTGGGCCCTTCCCTTCCAAACAGGCACCCCAGACAAGATGGATCAAACCAGCAGAGTAAAAAGCGGAAGTTGAAAATGCATGAGAGGTATTCACAATAACTGCTGCTTCATTGCTATAGCTGTAAACAAATAAACTATAAAATTTGGCACAAGAGGGGCCCAGGACTGGAATAGCAGGAATGTTGCAGATCAAGATTAATGTGCCTTGGCAGAGCTACACGGAGAAACATGCATGGCACCTGTCCCCACGGTGCCTGCCTTGAGCTGGTAACGTTAATCTCCTGGTTTCATAACCACAGCGCTCAAACCTACATCTTAAAACAATACCTTGTAGATTGCAATGTAAACTATTTTGAGGGAAATTTTGCTGAAAAGAAAAAAAACATGCATACATGGGACAAGCCAGCTGAATCAGAAAGTAAAATGCCTCTATAAATGTGTTTGTAGAGAAAGAATGTTACCTATTCTCAGGAATATATACATGTGTATGTGTGTGTAAAACTACGTATGTTCTGTTTGTTGATAATAAGATAAGCATTAAAAGGTGTGACAAGAGGGATGAGGACTTTTTACAATTCCAGCCACCTGATGTGCTGCATAGTTCCTCTCAGGAAACCTTCTCAACTTCTACCTAAATTCCCAGAGTGTGCTGCAGCCTGGATTTGTGGCAGAAATTCCCAGCCTGGATGGGATGCTGGAGACTCTGAAGCCTTGCTGTCAAATATCAGCGATAGGTGTCTGATTAGTTAGATGTCATTACATTATTCAACCATCCTTAAATAGCTATTACACCACTGCAGTCACTAATCCTTTCTGAGAAAGACAAGTAAGAAAGCATTAATTGGGTGACCATTACATGTGTACTGTACTTTCTTTAGGACTGAATGTACCGCAGGCTTTGCTATGCTGTATTCCTTCCTGAAATATTCCTCACTAAGCCCTAGCCCTATTAATGTCAAAACTCCTACTAATTTTAGTGGGTCTAGGAACAAACTTTTTTTTTTCCATCAGCTAAGAACAATTCCTTCAAAAGAAAGGAAAGAGAATAGATACAGGGTTTTGTAGCCATGTCTCACATTAGGATAATACTGTATTTTGACTTTGCTCTCACATGATTTGTCTTGAAGACAGTAGCAAGTATTTACAAACATACCAGTTCTCAAACCCTAATAAACTCTTTCTTCTTATGTAAAACATGTTCTGAGAAAAGCAATACCTCTAATTGTGGAGAGGGCGTGACAAGTCTGAAAACTTTTCAGTGCTTTTCATTTCTTTTAAAACTCATTCAGAAAATTTCTGGACAAACCATCAGAGATATTTTAGCTTTTTTTATGCATAATGGACTCAGCATACTCTGTAGTGAGAAAAGCAGAGCAGTCCATCATTGAAAGTCCACATAAAAATATTGTATGTTGTTCGAAACACCCAGGTAAGATTGGAAATAATTTCACAGATAGTAGAAGGTTCCTACTTTTGCTGTTTTCCTTCAAGAAAATAATAGATGTTCAACTGCTACAAGAACAGTGGACAGGTAGTGTCCTGGTATGCCAGAGGAGCGTCCTCGGCCCAGTGACACCCACTAGATGGGGATATTTCCACAGGACACTCCTGGCCTTTCAAGCAGTGTTCAGTGCACCACGAGTGTACAAACACCAGCTCATATTCACAGTTTAGATCTCCAGTCTTGGACCAGATCAGAGTTAATTTGTTATAAATAATAATTCAGAGCAGTAACAGGCAGTTTGGGGCAGCCTGGGGAGATTTTCTCTTTAAAGAGCAGCTGATCTAAATTATTTTTTTGCTTGAGAAAGAACAGATGAGTATGTGCCTGTGTGCACACACACACACACACACACACAAACACATGCTCACATAGATGTATTAAAAGGTCTAAATGGAGCACACATCCTACTGCTTCAACAGCCTTTGAAAGTTAGGCAACTGAGACGTGCAAGACTTGGGGCACAGTCAAATTTTTAAATGGCCTTATGTGTTTGGTATTAGTTAAACTCAGCTATAAATTTTAAAAATATTTCAAGTTTGCTTGAAAATCAGAAACTTTTATTTTGTTCATGTGTGTGCTTATGTGTATGTGATACACAAAACACTGCACGACAAGTGAGAGACATCTAGTGTATTAAGCAGTCCCTGATTACAGTGAAAAGGGCAGAAGAATGTGTTAATCTTTTTTTGTTTTTTGTAATTTCAATGGCCTGATTTTACAGGACTCCTTGGTAAAAACTACAGAGATAAGTTAGAATAGTGATTAACCAGCCACTAGAAGCATGGCTTTTCCTATCTGGTACTCCGAGTTCTTTGAAAAGCAAAATTTAAATCTTACATGGCTCATTTTCTCCTCTACGTATTCAGGCAAGGCTGATCGGACTCTGTGTGAGATCCTTTTCTGCATCTCAGTGTTTTTCAGTCTGTAAGAATCTGGTTAGTACTTTCTATGCAATGGAGTCCACAAAGAATAAGGCCTACATGGAAAAGTCTCTTATTCTAAGAATAAGAAACTACAGAAATGCTGAGCTTTATGAGGTCCTTTTTTATTTATAGGTGCTAACATCAGAACTGGAAATATCCCTTATTTTCACTCTGTTTCACACATTTTGTGAGCTTTGGGGGATCTGCTAGATCCACTCATTTTCTGTTTGCAAGATTCATAGGATGATTTAGGTTGGAAAAGACCTCTAAGATTATTGAGTCCAACCAGTAACCCAGCACTGCCAAGTCCCACTAAGCCCTGTCTTTAAATGCCATATCTACATATCTTCTAAATACCTCCAGGGATGATGATTCCACCATTTCCCT